TTGCCTGTATTCTGTTGCATTAACCAAATTCACGAGCATGGATTAGTTATACAGAAGCTGGGGGTTTTTTCCATGTTTGTAAAGGCACTGAAGATCAAGAAGGGACAGTTTGATATCCATTGTCTCAAACCAAAACGCCAACCAGATTCACTCCTGCTGGAGTTTTCTCAAAGAGGTAATTATGGAATCCTCATGTTATACAGAACATGGCAGATGATGGCAGGACATGTGATGGCAGGACATGTGAGACATGGGTTGAAGAGAGTAGATGTATTGTGGAGTGCTAGACTCCCTTGAGAGCAACCTGCTCTTACAGTAACTAACCCATTCATGAAGGCTTTGACTCTATGAGCCTGATTAAATGCAGATCCCCGCTAAATCTCCCTGTTAAATGCCTCATCTCCTACCAATATCATTAAATTTGGAGATCAACCCTCAGCATAGCTTTTCCATAGGACAAATGATACTTATACCACAACAAGCACTGACTTAAAAGTTGTAGAAGAGATAATCAACAAAATATAAGCAATACATGGGACTATATCTGCTCAGTGCCAAAGAATGATGCAGCCACAGGAAGTATACAATAACCCATGCCTGCTTAGGACTCTGGGAATTAATTTTTACAATTTCAGTAACTGCAGAAGCAAACTGTTTTTCTTGGACATGAGGTTTACTCTTAGCACAAAGATCTTATGAGCAAAGATCACTATGAGCAATACAGGTTTCTGCATGCCACCCATCAGGAAAGTAGATTAAACCACTGAGGGATGTAGATTGGTAGAGGGTATGACCTGCATGAATGAGGTTCTAGCTTCATTCCCCAATAGCAGTAAAAAAAAAGTGGATGTGTTTTCAACCAATAAGTTCTTTGTTCATAATTACTTCTCAGGCAAGACCGAAAAAACTTCAGCAGAAGTGGGTCTGGTTGCCATTTCAGTTTCTCCCAATGGATATCAAATTGTCTCACCAGAAGTCCTTTGAGAAAGCTGTAGACTTGGGTCCATCACAGTTTTCCTACTTAGATGGAATAATGTACACAACACTGTGGGATTTTCTTTCTCACCCTTCTAGCCTGTGGAGCATGTATAGAGTCTGGAGGAGGAAAATCCTCCTTGCTATTAATAGTTAGTGAGGACAGCTCACCAGACTGTCAGAGGAGGGCTGGGACACATTAGCTTTTCTTATCAGAAACTCACCTGGAATTGGTTTCACAGGCCTTTGATGAGGCCCTAGGAGAGTCAGAATCTTATCTCAGAAGAGGATACAACTCAGGTGGGGCTCAAGAGGGCTGGACCCCTACCTTCTGGGATTTCAGACACAGCTCTTGAGATTACAACTTAAAGGAGAGATGAAAGGGAAGAGGGCTGACAAGTGGTGTAGGAGCAGATGGATCAAAGGAGTGACAAGTGAGCCTGTCTGTTTCAGATGCAAAGCGTAGGAACTAGTTCAAAATCAACGCAGTCCCCTCCCCATTCTCCTAGGCCACAAATTATCATCCATATAGCTTAGAAGCAAGCAGACATTCCTGTAAGTCCCTGGGATTGCTAGTTGTTTCAGTAACTAGGATTCTTGGCAGCATCTTAATCTTTGGGCCTTTGACCTGTGTCTTTCCAGATCTTGGAGGCTCCCAGTAGTCTGCTGCAGTATTTTCTCTTTATCTCTTACGAGGCACTTTGGGAAAACTCGAGGCCCTCAGAATTACTGCTTTCATTGTCTTTGTGTCTTAAAGTTTGAGATTTATGGCATCTTGTCCAGGTTTATCTACCGAGCCTAGATCTCTATGATAGGAAAAGACAGCTTTTTTTTCTGCCAATATTTGGCACATCTCTCTGCACAACTCTTAGTATAGCTACAAAATTGCCCTCCTAGGATCCAAGCCTGCCAGAAGATGCTCTCGCCCACTCCCCTTTCTGATACATTTCCCACTGGGAACCCATCTGTTATTTGCACAGAACACACATTTGGAGACATTTGAGTACTTTCACCTCTAGCCTTGGTGCCATACCTTCCCCCATGTGATTTATTCTTGAGAATGTTTTTGTTTTCATTCCCCTCAGATCTGCACTTCAGGGATTTGGCAGTAAGCCTGGGGGTGGGGTGGGGTGGGATCATTTCTATCTTTTAAAGGCTACTGCCCCAGGACAACCCACCTCCAGAGAAGCAGTTAACAATAATAAGGCTGTCATTGCAGGCTGAAATTTTTCCCTGATGTCCTGCCTTGCTCTCCCTAGAGAATCACTTGTAATGCAAATTTTAGAAGACCTTCTTCCCCAAGGCACAGAGGTGGGAATTTAGCAGTGAGAATGCTTGTTGTTTTATTCAAAAGTACAGGACATCTAAAATTAGATGGGCACTATAATCTGAGCTTGTGGCCTGATGAGGATGATTTAGAGAGTCTCTGGTTTAAGAGTGCTTCCAGGCAAATTTCCCACTGCCTACTGTGTTAGGGAAGTATTGGAAGAGGCCCAGTGTCCAGGAATGTAGAAGGGAGGTGGCTAAGACCTACTTGTGTTTATTTTCCCCGCTTTGAGTCTGGGCCTCTGGTACCCCACCCTGACCTCAAACTTGATTTGCAGCTGAGGATGAGCCTGAACTTTCAATCCTCCAGCTCCCGCCTCCTCAGTGCTGGAATTGCAGATACATACCACTGTACAGGGTTTCTGCTGTGGCCTTAGGGATCCAACCCAGGGAGTCATTCATACACACTAGGCAAGCATCCTACCGACTGAGCTTATAGCCCCAGCTGCCACTTGTATGTAACAGGAAGTTTATTGCAGCCTCTGCGTCCAACTGTACTTTTTGAAAGTAATAATTTTGAATGCTTTTGAATGAGATCTCTTTCTCCCTCTCTCTTTTTCCTTCCCTCCCTCCTTCCCTCCCTCTCTCCCTCCCTCCTTCCTTCTTCCTCCCTCCCCCATATCCATCTTTCCTTTCTCCTTCCTTCTGCTGTTTCTTACCATACAAAGTTTCATCATGACGCTTCCATACATACCTCTGATTGATCTTTCTGACCCAGAATATTTTGTCTGGATTTGAATTGTGGTGGTCAATTTCTGACCTTGGTTCTGGATAGGGAGGGTGACTGGTATTCATCCCCAAACTGCCTAAGGAGTTCTTTGCCAAAAAGCCATAGTGGATACATAGGAGTAGCAGTCTCCATTGAGTTCGTCAGTCTCCGGTGAGCATGTCACCCAAGCTCACGGTGAGTTAGAGAGCTGCACAGTCAAGGGTTGTCCCAACTGGTTCACTATTTAAAATTTCAGCATTTAGCTGCAGAGCTACACACCATGCAGCAGCATCAGAGCCACCTGCATGGCCCCTACTTTACATGACTGCTCTGAGCCCTTGTGGGCACTACATCCAAACTACTAGAGCTTTTGCTAATGTCGACTCCTCCTGGTTTGTGTTTGTCTATGCCTATACATCTTTATTACCTTTGATATCACAAGGAACCCCTCATTATTTCTTGTTCCAATCACATCCTGGTGCCCATTTGAAACTAGTGACTATAGGATAGAATGTCATTTATGATCCCTTCCCAGCCTTCACATAAATGCTGCTACACAGAGACACTTATTTGCAAAGGACTTGAAAGATTCATAAGAATCTAGTAGGCTCTTTGACATTGTCTTAAACACTACCTCTACCCATAAAAGGTTCTAGGCCCATGAGATGGCTCAGCAGATAAAAGAACTTCCTGAGTAAACTCAACAACCTCAGTTTGATCCTGGAGCCTTTGGCTGAATGATGAACAATTTAAAGTTGCCCCCTGACTTCCATATTTACACCATCACACACACACACACACACACACACACACTAAAAATAATAAATTTTAAATAAAAAGAAGGTCCTGGACTGATGAGGTCGCTCTGAACACTTGCTGCCATGCCTAATGACATGAGTGCATCCGTTGGGTCCCATATAGTGGAAGGAGAGAAATGACTCCTCCAAGTTGACCCGTGACCTCTATGTACGGGCTGTGGCACATGTGCATATACACTTGAGTGTACACATACAATAAGTAAATAAATATAAAAAAGAGAAGGTCCTATTATATACACTGAACAACAAGATAGGCATGTTCTACCTTCACTGTTTATGAGGTTATGCTGATGAAGATTTTAGTAACAAAAATTTCTAATGAAATTGGGATAAATAATTCTGCACATCAAGTGAAGAGAAAGGCTTTGAATTGGTTTCCATGGAAATCTGAAGATGAAGTACAGTATTAATTTCAAGGCAAAGCAGCTGAATTGAAGATAATGGTAAAATAGTTTGATAAAGGAAATAGAATAAAGTAATCAAGGAGACTCCAATCAATTATTCCTCTTTGTTTACCTTGAGGTGATTAATTTCCCTTCGTTTATTAACCTGATGAGATTAAGCAGACCTTCCTTGTGATTTATTTAGTAATTGTTTCCAAGGTTTGACATAAGCTGTGGAGTTATTGAAGGTGGAAATTTAAATTCAATTACTCATGAAGCAAAGGGTGCTTCTCTTGAAAGGACCTCTGAATGCATGAATGCATGGCCTTCCCTCACCACATTATGAGAGAAAATTATTAATTCATCTGATAGTATCTGCCACAGCCATTTTGAAGTCACTTGGTTCCATATCCCCTCACTGAAAGTCAGCAGCTTCAGAACTGAACTTGTGGTACAGACACTCCAGTGGCTGGAAAAGTAATGGGTTTCATTTCTGTTTGTTTAGAGGAGAGAAACTACTGTGCCCTTTTATACATTTTTCCCCAATAAAGCCTTCCTGGAAGCTTGGGCTATGGTGCTACTATTAATGGAACATAACAGGTCAAACTTTGCTCTGAAGGACAGTTTTATTTGACCTTGAATAATGGTTCCCACTGTCTCTGACATTGAAGGAAATCACTGATTAAAAATTTGCTGGGGAAGGGAAGGAGAGAGAAAGTTGTTGAATTAAATGACTAATTACTTTTTGTCTCTGTGTTCTTTGTATATATTTTTGTTCGGTGGGTATAGTAAGGATAGATGGGGTTCTTCAAACTTCAACTCGGGTGCCAACTCTCCATCATCTACAAAGACCCGGAGCGCATCTAAGAGTGGGAAGTAAGTGCTGCTGTGCATCTCACACAGTTACCACACAGCCATGTGTCCTCATTTTGTCATTCATTCATAGCCATTCAACAAACATGTATGGGATGCTTTTTGTGTGTCTGAAAGTGGGAATTAAAAGAACACTATCTATGGAGGTGATACTCGTATAAGGAGAAGGGAAGGAGAAGAAAAGTCCAGAGATGATTTTGCAAGGGTGAAGGTTAAGGCCATTTGTCTGGAAAGGCAATGCAAGCTTTAGTCTAAGATGCTAAAAAATTAAATAAACAACACTGGTTAATCACTTTATTGTTTGTGCAATGCATGAAAATCTCTGTCTTGAGATTTAAATTAGAAGGTTCTGGAAAGCCATTTCATAAATTTCCTCATTCAAATACATTTACATTTGAGTTGTATTACTGTTACATGATATGTTTATTCTTTGCACAATAACTAGTATGTAAATGTTCTACATCTTTTTTATATTGAAAGAACATGGATTGGTTGGGTTTTTTTTTGTTAGATTTATGTCTTTAAGGTGGTTCCAGAAGACAGTTTTGGCTAATCTCTCCTCTTGGATTTAGCAGAGCATGGCATTCTGAAGTGGTGTGTCCCCATGGAGATGACATACCTTCAGCTACGCTGTTCCCTCTCCAATAGGTGCAGCCCTTTTATGAACACCTCAGCCTTTCTTTTTATTTATTTAATTGATTTTTATGTGCATTGGTGCTTTGATGGCATGGTCTGTATGAGGGTAGCAGGTCTCCTGGAACTGGAGTTACAGACAGTTGTGAGCTGCCATGAGGGTGCTGGGAATTGAACTCCGGTCCTCTGGAAGAGCAGTCAGTATTCCTAACCACTGAGACATCTCTCCAGTCCTGCAGCTTTTCTTATAGGCTCTCTTTCCCAAGGATATGGGCCTTTAGACTGGCCTGCATCTAGAAAATGAAAGATGCCATCATCACACTAGAAGCTCCAATTTGACAGTAAGATATGTCACTATAAGAGCAAGGCTTTGCAACGGAAGGTGGATTTGTAATGGTCATATATTTTATGTATTCAGCACTGGACACTAAGTGCTGTACTTTGAATATAATCTGCTATTCGATTCCCAATGTGAAAGATCTATTGGCTGCCGCTTTCCCCTTCTTTTTCACCTCCTGAATACCATTTCAGTTTTGCATATAAAATTGATCGTGGTCTATCTGTAAAAATATGAAAGTGATGGTAAAGATATGAGACTAACTCTCTGAACAGGTAGAATTCATTTCAGTTATTTATTGCCAAGCACCACAGTCAAAATGCTGTATCAATTATGAAGGAATGGAATTGATGGACAAATTTCCAAACAGTTGAAGGTTTCCAAATTAGTCCCACTCCATTGTTACTGCACATTGTCAGTTCCCAATGATGCACTGGAGAGACACTTTAACTCCATACTTGAAGAAATGACAGACCCCTATCTGGGCGCAAACTCAATCTGGGTACCCTTATTCATACTGGTCGCACTGATGATTGCAGAGTACAATTTCCATTCATTAGACCCTGATGTATAATGTTGATATTTGTGATTTATTGATGTACTTCAAAAGGAGCATTGCATTGTAACTTTGGACTTTGCAGGCACCTGATCTTTCACTTATTAAGTGAGGACTGTCTGTATATCACCCAAGGAGAGGTTGGTATAATGGAAGTTAGGTTGATGTAGAGAATGCATGCAGAATACCATATTCAGGTTTTTCACAATAGGAGGGCTGAATAAATGCATTCCCAAGTAGATAGCCGGGATCTTCTATCACAGCTACTGTGTTTGCAACCATCCTAAGCTTTTGCCATTTCTGAATTTTGAGCTAGATGTCTTTTGTTTGCCACACACACTGACTACAAATTAAAATAGTTCTTTTCAATTTCTCATTATGTTGGTTAGTTATTACTATTAGAAAGTTTTCAGATTCATTTTTTACAGTTGTATGGACCAGATTGCTTTGTATCATAGCCCTTCTTCCATTGGTTTTGAGGGATAGAATTTTTCTTAATCTGTCATTGCCTATTTTGTCTGCCTTGGACTATCTTTGTCTTTAGGAACAGTGCCGGTGTTCCATGGTTAAGATAAGACTTGGGGGCCTTCTCCACACCTTGCAGAATACTTTCTAGAAATGTTTCGGCGTTGTGCTCAGTAGTTCAGAGGAAGGTGTTCTATACATTTACTGCTAAGTTGTCCTTGCACTCCCTTGGTTTCAGGGTGTAGGGTGGTAGCAATGGCCAGCAATGGAAAGTGCCTTTCTGTTGAGTTTCCTGGGCATTGTTTTATCTAATGACAGTAAGATATGCAGCTACAGAATAGCTCTAGTTTCTCTATGCTGTTTTTGAGGCCAGACATGGGTTGGAAGAGTAAAAGAGTGTTCTTCTCTGAAAAGAAATCAGCTCTTCCATTTTCTGAAGAAGTATAAAATGCAAAAGTCAAGCTGTGCCAAGTTTGCCTCATGGCAGAAATTATTAGTAACTAGTATGTATTGCTTATGTGCTCATGTGCCAGCATGTCTATGGTCCATATAGTACATTTTTTCTCATGAATCCTCGCCTACATAAAGCTCACAAAGTAGACGCTATTATTAGTATTTCTACTTTATTTGTGAAGAAATTGCGAATCGGGAGATAATAATACGTCCTAATGAGATCTACAAATGAATGGTTTTTGCAAATACCATCTTTGACTCAAGTTTTAGAAGTTATTATAATATGTATAATATATATAAATATATATATAATGTATGGTCTGCATATTCTTATAACTCCAGTATTAGGGGACAGAATCAAGTGGGTGCCAGGAGCTCGCTACCCTGCCAAGCTAGGTAAAATGGATATGGTGAGACTCATGTTTTGTTTTAAGCAGAGAGCAATAAAGGCATGATATTCTCCACTGACCGTCGTATGTGTTTGCATGGGCATGTTTTCTGTGCACACACATGCATACACCTCTCGCTCACTTGCCAACCCTCCCCTCCCCCACAAAGGAAATGCATGCTGGAAAGGTGGGTCAGAGAAGCTGGAGTTATGGAGTTGGTCAAAGCTAAAACTGCACGAGCAATTACTCCTTCTGACTTTCCACCTATTTAGAGCCGGCTGAGGTCCAATGAAGCATGGTCAGCGAGGAGCTCAGGAAACCTCCAGCTTGGCTGTTGTGTCAGTTCTGCTTGCTCTGTTGCATTGCCTGGCTCTGAAGCTGGGCAGCCAACCTTCTGTTTCAGGGAGGAACAGATGGGGTGGGATATATCTGAGCAGCAGAGCCAGACCACCCTGGCAACGACTTCCAGCGAGGAGCAAGCAATTTCTTCAGTGTTGACAGTGAGTCAGATTGACAAGACAGAGACAGAAATCAGTACAGAGCCATAGGATCTAGACCAAACAGTGTAAGTTTTACAGATGCTGCTGACCCATGACCAGCCGGGCCAGGCCACAGCACTGGGCCTCACACAGGGCTCCTTTCTGGAATATAAACATGTTACTCTGGCAGACACAGCAGTTCACAGACAATCAGTTTACCTCCCTCTGGATCACACTGAAACTGTCAAGGCTGAGAATGCTTAGCTGCCCCTGGGAGCTTTCAGGGGTCAATTTTGCTAATTCGTTCTGGTTTCTTGAGGTACGAGTCTTAGTATGTGACCCACTCTGGCCTTCAACACAGGAGTTTCTTACTCTCTGGGACTAGTGGCATCTATCACCATGTCCAGTTTTAAAGTGCTCATTTTTTTGTAGCAGAATATTTCTGTTCTTTCCAGGAGACCAGCTCTTTTGCTGGACAGACCGTAGATAAGGACACCACCATTTCTGAGTCACATCTAGTTACTAGCAGATGAAAGCCTAGATTTCTGGTCTTCTAGTGCTGTCCCCATATCCAATGCTCAACACTGAATGGTGTCATTCTTTCAGAGACCATCGCATCAGTTCCTGACCTCTTTTGCTCTAGATGTCCACCAATGTGCTTTACTCCCCATATTCCATGATGAACAGATTGGGGGTGCAAAGAAAATGGAGACTTTGGAAAAGTTAGAGTTATTCCACTTTATAAAAAAATCTGGCAGTGGTGGTGATGAAAGAAAAAAGTATGCACTTCTCCAGTTCTTCCTTATTCTCTGAAATACAATTCTGCTGTTATTGTGGCACTGTCAATGATGCGATCATTAGAATGTACAGATCAAAGATTTTTTTCTCTCAAATCGAACAAGCAATGCTGGTGGCCATTTTTGTGTAGAGATACAGATGTTCCTCGACTTGAAATAGGATTATGTTTTGATAAAAAACCATCATAAACTGAAAATATCATGTTCAAATACATGTGAATGAGCCGGGCATTGGTGGCGCACACCTTTAATCCCAGAACTCAGGAGTCAGAAGCAGGCGGATATCTGTGAGTTTGAGGCCAGCCTGGTCTACAAAGCGAGTTCCAGGACAGCCTCCAAAACAATACAGAGAAACCCTGTCTCGAAAAACCAAAAAAAAAAAAAACATGTGAATGCTGATGAGATAATTCAGTAAAGTGCTTGCCATGTAAGAATGCACATACGTGTAATCCCAACACTCGGAAGGCTTGCCCTGCTTGGTGAGATCCAGACCAGTAAGAGACCACTGAACTCCAAAATGCCCATACTCATACAGGTGTGCATGCACATTCTTAGGAGGCTGAGAGAGACAGGTTGTGAATTTGAGGTCAGCCTGGGCTACAAAGCAGAACCCTGTCTCAAAAAATGTACTTTATATACTGCTGTGTATTGAATGTCAAATATGCCCTCTCATACTTGTAAGATTTTTTTTCTATTTTGGGCTCTTTTGGCTTTTTGGTCTTTTTGAGGGACCCACCACCCAGCTCCCAAATAACTCACACACAGAGGCTTACTCTTAGTTATGAACACTCGGCCTTAGTTTGGCTTGTTTCTTGCCAGCTTCTTTTAACTTAAGCTATTCTTTCAACCTTTTTGCCTCTGAGCTTTTCTCTTTCTCTATTTCTGTATACCTTA